TTGGTATTTTTATAAAGCTAATAAGATGGCGTATAAAATAAAATCAGAAAAAAAATTGGCAATTTTTGGCAAAATTCACAATTTTAGGGTAGTCAAGTACCTTAAGTGCCCATGCAATTGTAATAAAATATCTTCAACTACAGTCATTTTGTACATGAAACTGGTGCCATCAACGGTGTTTTAGTTATACCACTATTTTAATAAAAACTAATTGTAAAATTTTTATTTTAGTGCCTGACCTATATAATATACGGTTTTATGTTGCAAAACAGCTCTATTCTTTCGAAAGAGGTAATCTCAACTCAAAACTTTGAAAATAGGGAAATGATGAAAAAAAAAGAAATCTTTACTCAGTTCAAGCTAGACTTGTCATCTTTTTGTTCAGTGAATGAGAGAGAAAAATAAAATGTTTACTAACAAAGAACTCAAAAGGAAAGGAAGTGCGTCTCAAAAAGGTACGTATATATATATGCATACTCGAAAAACGAATAAAATATTGCAGAACTGCGCAACAGATGATATTGCGTAAGCGAAAAATCTTGTGTCTACTATTAATTCTTTATTGTGAAATGATAGTTCAAATACAATTGATTTAAAGTAAAGTAAAAATAAAAACTAATTTGTTGTTACGTTGTTTTTCAGTTAAATGTGAGATTTAGTTCCCGGAACAAAAGAATAATGGCTTTATTCAATCTCATTGTTTATAGAAATTGCAAAATCGGTGTTTTAAATACGACTTTAGAATTCTTTTCGAAAAAAATTAAGATTTTCTCGAGAGTTCTTTGAAAACTGTGAGAATTTCATTCAGTAAATGAGAAGCCGCTCCTTTGTTTCTGACTGAAAACAATGGATACACATAAATCCATAAGAGAGTAAATTATTTTTTTAACTTTATGGTGATATTTTTCTCATCAAATTATAATACTTTTTGTAGAACTATAATTACAAACGGAACCGTTATAAACACAATCGATTTATTTTACCGATTTCAAATATTGGAGGTATAGTTTTTGTTTTGGTTGAAACTTAAATTTATAGAAACTTTTTTTTGGAATAGAAGTATTGAAAAATAATATTTATAGATTTTGTATGTGTTTTATTCAGTCTAATAAATTGAAATGATTGGTCAAACGGTTTGTCAATTCTATCAAGTGAGTGAGTGAGACTCAATTTATCTCGCACTATAAATCTGCACGAGGGCTGTCAGCTACAAATCCCGTAATTTTTTTAGCCATGGTCAAGTGACAAGGACGACACATCAGCTGGCACTTCCTCTTCTAACCACCATACCACACCAACGGGAGGGCGTTTGAGTCTCGACATATTTAACATGCATCGGCCCCCTCTGCAAGGTGGATCTTCTGCGGTACCAGGCTCGAACTCATGCTACGCCTGCTATTAGTCCATTTCCTTGACCACTAGGCTACCACGGCCTCATTAATTCTACCAAGTCCCCTTAAATGCACACACAGAAAAAATATATAACATCTATTGTTTATCAATCAAAATAAGCAGTTACATGTAATGTTTAGAAATTTTGTAAGGAAAATTTTGTAAAATCCGGATTATCTACAAAAAAAGTGTATTGATGTAACCTTAAATAAGGATGGGTATGGAATTTTTGATTAAAAATTATGAGTATAAAAACGAAAATATAATTTATGTTCCATTTATATGAATATACTATTGATATATTCTATTTATATGGGATGGAGAGGAAATGTTAAATGTCTTACGAAAGTGGGTAGTGATTGCTTAAATTTATTTTTAACATTAAATGTTCCAACATTTTTGTGTATATGTTTTTATTGATACTAATCAAATGACTGATATGAAAAAGAAACATAAGTTTACCGGATAAAAAAAGATATAGATGCATTGCTAAAAAATTGAAAACAGAAATAAAAAAAATAAAAAAAAAGGAAAAATGTTGTAGAAGAGAAAGAGATAAAGTGCAATACGTGAATTTTATACTGAAATTCTTGCAATAAATCATTTGATTTGTCGAGTTTCATTTAATATGTTAAACAAATTATATTTACTAGATAATGATCACCATGCTAAATATACTTTAGCAATAAACGAAGCTCTAAAGAAGGAGAAAATATATTAAAAATGCTTTTAAAATACAAAGAAGAAAATAGTCTATATTTTATTTCCATTGTTTAGTAAAAAGTAAAGCAAATTGTGACTTTAAAAAATCAGCGAAAGATAATTTATATAAAATAATTAAACCTATACGTATTCTATCTCTCGAAAAACACATGAACGTCTTTTAAAATATTCTGAAACTCTTTTTAGTTCCTGAATTTTGTAAATATATATATATAGCTAGAAAAGTAAATAGTATATATAAACAATACTTCTCAATCCTCTTCTTATTTTTCAATTCCTTCTATTAGTTCTCTGTCTCCCTATATATATATATTTATTTACATATCTATATAACTTATTCAAATTTTCAATCGTTAATAAAATACTTTCTATTCGTCCATTTAAGTTCAAATACATTTTTTAAACTTGTAGTGGACGACACTTGATGTTAATACAGTTTTTTCAAATATTAATTCGTTAATTAAATTGAAAAATGAATAAATTATAACAAACAAAAATAATAGTCCAACAGCATGTATAGAAAGGAAAATCGCTCGTTGTGTCCCTGTAGCGCAATGGATAGCGCGTTGGACTTCTAACCCGAAGGTCGTGGGTTCGAGTCCCTCCTGGGATGGACTAATTTCTGATAATGGGATTTCTTTTTTACTGTACTATTTTATTAGAATAATTAAATGTTATGAATGAATAAATTGTAATAAACAACAACAACAAAAAAGTCTAACACCATGTATAGAATGGAAAATGGAAAATTGGAAGGAGCTTTCTATTAGTCACTTAATATTGTGATTCTTTCATATATATATACAAATTGTAACTATTTAATAAAAAGTAACTAAAATAAAAATTTTCTTTGTTAACCTAAATGGGAATATAATTTTTTTTTTTTTTTTTTGTATTACTTGTTTTCGTATGCTCGCAGTATAAGTCCTATTCCCAAATTAATCCATAGTTAAGTTTGTCTCCTAAGTGAATGTTGGCATGACCAAATGATTAATTGAAGTTGAGATATACAAACCACGTATATATTTGAAAAAAAAATTTACTTGTCCGTAACTAATCAGATTGAATATATTAAATTTAAAGGAAATAATAAAATATAAATACTCAGATGAGCTAAGTTCAAAAAGAAAAGTATTTCGTCAAGTACAAAAATGTGAAAGATTCTAAGGGTTCCGTCGAGTATGGAAAAAAAAGAGTTGTAAAAGACTCCAAGAGTAAGAATCTTACAGCCTTCGATAAGGAGAAGTAACGGGCCGAAACTAGCGATCAATCCCTAATGCAATAATCTCAATCAATAAGTGTACGAGGTAAATACTAAGAAGTGCAAGTATAGATCAGGTCTCGGCAACCATTATTTATTGGGTTGAAAGACATTCTCTGTGAATGGATTGCGGAGAGATTAGAAAAGAGTTTAGTTGTATTTGTGGGGCTTATACATCAATGCAATTCGCAACTATGGTGTCTTGCAATGGCACCATTGTTAGACTGATCGCCAGAAGAATTCAAAGCATCATAACACTAGATGACTGACTTCATTTAGCAACACTAACTGTAATAAGCTTTATAACGATATTTCAGAAAAAGAGGACATGACTATATTTGAATAAATGTAAATTATTGTACATCAAAAATATAAGACATCTACTGAAAACAAGCTTTAATGCGACTTTTGCAGCAAAAAAACTAATACATGACCGAGTTTTATTTTCGGAGAAATACGATAAGTGTGCCGAGTGAATGAGTGAGTGAGTGCTTGGGTTTATAGCACAAAAGCTAAATCTGGCTAAAATGTGCGCCAAACATTTGTTAAAATATTAATACAACTGAGATAAAATATTTAAAAATATTGACAATACACTTTCAGTAGAAATTAAAATTTCAAATCACATAAAAGTCATATTCTAATGATAAAAGCAAACAAATTTGGGTGTAGGTTTGCCCCACTAAGTCAAGCAATATCTTAAAATAACGGATAAGGTTAAAACAAATGAAAGAAAAAAGCGAAATTAAATCGAAATACGATGACATTTAATGTAATTCCCAGAAGTAAAAATTACCATGAACTACACTAAAGTTTAAAAGTAATATGTGTTTTATAAAAGTGGGAAAAAAATCACTCCCTATTGTTTCCAACACGGGTTGGAGTTAATACGTGGGAATATTTTTCTCGTTCCCAACCATTGTTTTGCCAATACTCTTCCGAAAAGAAATATTCATCCGCCTTATACTCGATCACCTCCTCGTCCGTTGACTCCTGTTGAGCAGCACTTTTTCCGCGGTTTTATTTCTACTTCTAGTTTATTAATTGTTTTTACTAAATTTTTTTTTCCTCGCACGAGTTTTTGAATCTTGTTTTAAATTTCGAATTGTAGTAGATGCAAAAGGGGGTTGAATCCCGAAGTTGGATGTGGAAGCGGATATGTTTGATGAAGATGATTCAATAGGGGTAAACATATTATTGGTGGTGGAAAGTACGTCATTAGACATATGAATAGGTGGCTGAGGCTCTGACACTGTAGCTGCTATTGAAGAGGTGAAAGTACCACTAAAGACCCGCCGTGTAGGGCAGCGATGCACGTTAAATCTGTCGAGAGCTGAAACGTCCTCCCGTTAGTGTGAAGTGGTAGTTAGGAGAGGGGGGTGCCAGCTCAGGTGTCGTCCACGTCACTTGACCATGGTTCAAAATTACGTGGTCCGTCGCCAAAAGCCCTCGTGTAGCTGAACAATGCGACGTTAATATTCAATCAATCAATCAATCAATGAAGAGGTGAATGGCGCGAGGTGTGCTTGGGTTGAAGGTGATGATGTGGAAACAGCAGTAGATAGATATATATTAGGTTTCGGGAGGGATGAAAGTGGTTGTGTGTGAAGTAAATCTAAAGGTGGGCATTTTATTTTTGTAATGTTTTCATCTGTATCTGTAGAATTGTTTATAATAGAGGATTTGGCAGTCTGAGCGTAAGTTTGAGATAATTGAGGGACTATTAATTTTCGGGCTTCTGGATATAAAAGATATTTTTGTTAGTTTTAATTTCCTGTATTTGTTTTTCAGTTTTCCATTTTGGACATAATTTTGAATCGGAAGAATAAGGCTGCGAACAATTCACGCATTTTTGCTCTAGATTGCAATCTGAGGAGGCATGTCCAACAGATGCACATCTAGAGCATGTTAATTGTCCACGGTAGGCAGTTTGTGAGTGTCCGAACGTCTGGCACTTGCAGCGCATAGGATTCGAAATGTGTATGGACGGATTTTACAGTTTAAGTAACCAGCTTTTATTGTGTTTGGTAGTTTCGGGAGATTGAATGTTAAAATTAAATGTTTTGTTGGAATAATTGTATCATATCTTTTTTTATTGTAATTCTCCTGACCTGAATAACACCCTAATCAGAGAAGCTTTCAAGTATTTCTGATTCAGAAATGCTCACCAAGTCACGCTCTGAAATGACACCTCTGCAGGAGTTTAGAGAGATTTATGAAGAGTTAGATTTACAGACAGACGAGTTAAAAAAGGTTTTGGCTAGAAGAAACGACTCTGATGGAATAGCGGAGTTGGTTTCAATAAGTAGATCCCCGGAACGTAACCATTTTACGGATTTCGGTTCACCACCTATTCCGATGAGGTCTTTCAGAACAACAAAAGATGATTTATTTAACATCTCATTATTTGGAAGTAAAAGTAGTATAAATCTCTGGTATTTTGTGACATTCTATCAACGTTGTGAATGGGTAAGACAAGGCTTTTACCAGGGCACAGCTGACTTGGATCCATAAGCGTGAAACAAACTTCATCCTGGCGTGCCTCCACCCACCACGGAGTCCGACAAGGGAGGCAGTGTACCGGTCAACTGACATTAGTCAGGCTCGGAGCTTACCTGTAGTACACCCAGGATATAACACTACAGCATCAGGTCGAGGATCCAACGGATAAACCTGATACTCCTTATTTTTGCAGCACTAGCCCTACAGCAGTGTCTCTTAAGGGATACCGAAGAGACTTATCACCAGCCGATTGACAAGAGTGGGCTCACTCCTGCCTCCCTTCTACAGTGAAGTGTGGGTCAAAGGAAACACACCAATGGTATTCCAGGGACACCATTTTCCTCCTTACGGGACGCCGAAAAATGCAAACATGCGGTTTGGAAATCCAACAGTGTTAGTTAAAAAACAAATACTCAGTACGAACATAGAAAAAATAGAATAGAAAAATTAATAACAAATAAAACCAAATTAACGAAATACTAAATGAAACCAAACTATGTTATAATTAAATTATAAGTAATACGACAAATTATTCAAACAATTAACATATTACAATTAAACAAACAAATGAATCTATAAGTGTACTGAAGTTTATTTGAAAAGATTTTATGCTGTGGTCCGAACAGGAAAAGGAAAGAAAAAGGTAATTGGATGACAAGAAGGAGGGTCGAAAATAGAGAAGGATCATTAAGGTACCCCGGGGTCGTGACTCCCGTGTTTACCAAAGACAGTAAACCCCTTGGGAAAAGGAAAAGATC